GAGGCATGAGTTAGAACTTGGCTTGAGTTCTTTAACTCTTGAGTTGTTTCTTCATGTGGAAATATCCATCCATTCTTCATTTACCTGAGTAACACCAGCCAATATATATGTGTCCCAAACAGCTGTATTTTCCTAGGCATTTAAGATCTTTTTCACCTCCTTATTTTTCTAATGATTAAAAATATATGCCCATTTATAATGTAGCCCTAAGATTTCAGGGCAGCTTGTGACACAGTCTTAGGCAGGTGCTCCAAACATTTGCATTTGGATTCTTTCAATCCATTCTAATGTAGCACTCTCCATATAAAGCCAAGTGTTTATATGAACAGTCAAAAAAAGTGTGTGTTGTCATAAATTTCTACATGTTCATTGAATTTTAACATACTGGGGCTTAACTAAACTTGGAGAATCACTTATCTTAATTTTTAATTTAAATGTGCAGTGACTGACTAAAGTGCAAATTAGAGGCCAATTGACCTGGAATGATAAATATTTAATGGTCAGGGGGATAAATCTAATCCTTCTCTACCAGTCAGGAAAGGCCACCATCTTGTATGTGCAGAATCTGGCACTACCTACTTATATAACCTGGAAAGAGCAGAGAGAGACAGAGAGAGTAGAAAATCATACAACAGTTCTTTAAAATTTCTCCTGTAACTGGCATGCTTCATCATACAGACTCCCTTTTCTTTAGATATAGTAATTGGAAATATTATGCCTAGCCCAAGGGGAGAAATATTTTCATTTCACCATGTTTTCTTTCCTCAATGGATGGTAAAATTTCACTGAATGGAAGTGACAGGAAAGAGTATTTGAGACCCATCTATGGAAGACAAAATATAACAGAGTGAATCAACTCCAATTTACTTTATATCCAATTTATCCTTATATTTAATTAACATTAAATAATTTCATAAGAGTGATTTGCTAAATTATATCCACATAATTATTTTCAGGCTGTCTTTTATCACTGAGAGAATACATCACTTTTTGAAAGTAAACTTCAGTTTCTTTTTTTTTTTCTATTTAAGATCCTTTGCTCTTTTTTAAATTTTTTTAACTTTTATTTAGTAAATATAAATTTCTAAAGTACAGTTTATGGATTACAATGGCTTCCCCCCCCCATAATTTCCCTCCCATTCACACCTCTCCCATCCCTGCTCCCTCTCCTATTCCATTCACATCAAAATTCATTTTCAATTCTCTTTATATACAGAAGATCGATTCAGTATATATTAAGTAAAGATTTCATCAGTTTGAACCCACACAGAACATAAAGTGTAAAATACTGTTTCAGTACTAGTTATAGCATTACTTCACATTGGACAACACATTAAGCACAGATCCCACATGAGAAGTAAGTACACAGTGACTCCTGTTGACTTAACAATTTGACACTCTTGTTTATGTCATCAGTAATCTCCCTAGGCTCTAGTCATGAATTGCCAAAGCTATAGAAGCCTTTTGGGTTTGCCATCTTCGATCTTATTTAGACAAGGTCATAGTCAAAGTGGAAGTTCTCTCCTCCCTTCAGAGAAAGGTACTTCCTTCTTTGATGGCCCCATTCTTTCCACTGGGATCTCACTCGCAGAGGTCTTTCATTTAGGTCTTCTTTTTTTTTTTTTTTCCATACTGTCTTGGCTTTCCATGCCTGAAATACCCTCATGGGCTCTTCAGCTGGATCCGAATGCCTTAAGGGCTGATTCTGAGGCCAGAGTGCTATTTAGGACATCTGCCATTCTATGAGTCTGCTGTGTATCCTGCTTCCCATGTTGGATTGTTCTCTCCCTTTTTGATTCTATCAGTTAGTATTAGCAGACACTAGTCTTGTTTGTGTGATCCCTTTGACTCTTAGACCTATCAGTGTGATCAATTGTGAACTGAAATTGATCACTTTGACTAGTGAGATGGCATTGGTACATGCCACCTTGATGGGATTGCATTGGAATCCCCTGGCACGTTTCTAACTCCACATTTGTGGCAAGCCCGATTGAGCATGTCCCAAATTGTACATCTCCTCCCTCTCTTATTCCCACTCTTATATTTAACACGGATCACTTTTCAGTTAAAATTTAAACACCTAAGAATAATTGTGTGTTAATTACAGAGTTCAACCAATAGCACTAGAACAAAAAAAAATACTAAAGTGGATAAAGTATTACATTGTACATCAACAATCAGGACAAGGGCTGATCAAGTCACTGTTTCTCATAGTGTTCATTTCACTATGGCCTTAACTGCTTTCATTATACAGAGTGAATAGTTCCTGGATTTCCTCAATTGCTTTTGTTATTTATACAAAAATTTTCATACACATTAAAAAGTTGATGGATTATTTATTTTGAACTAGGAAGACATTGCAAGAGACAGATGAGTTCTCACAGCAACAACCCTGTTACTTAACTAATGTTAGCTTCATTTCAAGATATGGAAACTGAGTCTCATAGGTCACATAAACTGAAAACCTTTAGTCCAGGCTGACTGATAACACACATTCTCAACTACTATCATTAAACAAATAATATTTTTAAAAAACTGTGCTTTGTGGATCTGATTTCTATTAAATTAATTTAGGCATAATTGTACATGACTAAAACACAAACAGATGGCCTCCACACTTCAGGATGCAGCAGGTTCTCTACTCCCCACCACACATCAAATTGCCACCTAACAGGGTGGGTTTTTGACTAGCGGTATACACCAGACTAAATATGCCTTATCCTCCTTATAACCTCAGAGTATCTACATTCAATCCTGTCCTTCGCTGTGGGCTCCAGCTTCCTGCTAATGGAGACCCTGGATGGTAGTGAAGAAGACACACATGATTGAGTTTCTGCAACCCACAAGAGAGACCTGGGTTGTATTCAGGGACTTGGGGCTTGAACTAGTGGATAGGAATTCTCTCTCACTCTCTCCTTTTTCTCTTTCTCAAACAAATGAGTAAATGATTTTAAAACTAAAGTAAATAAACAAACCACATTTCCCTGTTGTAATGGGCGCCCTAGGCTCACCAGCCCATTTTGCTCTATTGCACTCTCTTTTCCTCATCCTCCTCTGATGTGATGTTAGCCAGTCCTTAGAAACAAGCAGAAAAAGCACTCTGAAGAACATACTGTGGATATAATCTGAGTCTGTTCTCATCACTGGGGTATGGATCACTACCTTTCTACTTACTATGAGCTGAGAACTGGTAGGCTGCCCATGAGCTGTTTGTGACTCAGGTGTCTTCCTGAGTCACCTGAAACTATAGGAGCACAGGGCAATTGCTCTGCTCTGGGATTATGTGAAGAGGCTAATGCTCCACCAAGACCCTGACCTCTGCATTGCACAAGGATCTCATGTTCTTAAAAAAAAAAAAAAAAGTGTTACTTTAACAAAATCAATATGTTCCTCTGATCTCCACATCAAAACATATTATCTGGTATGGCATGGTCACAAGATACAAAATTGAAATCAGAACTTTCCTGAAAGACTACTTACAGACATAGTTACTATAATTTATGAATGCTTGCTTTAAGGTTGAATTAAGCCAATAAATTCAAAGTAGTTATAAATACAATTGAGGAACCAAAATTTTCTTAAATATCGTTGGCTTATCCTACAGTGATCAGATCCAGCAGAGTTGATTTACTTGGATCACATATTTGACTTGGTTCTCTTGTGACTTGGTTTCTTTTTCTGTTAACAGGGATGCTTGTCCATGCTGCCTGTACCCAGAAATACATGGAGAGTCAATGAGGTAAGAAGAGCCCATGCATTCACTTCTGGAATGCATATTTTTTCTGATTGGGCCAGCTGAGTAATCTCAAATTTCAAGGAATCTCAGTCTGAAGTCATCCAAGACCCACCCAGGGCTGCTAGCGGGTTGCCTTTTGTGTTTCTCCTTCTCTCCCACTCTGTGAAAGGGGCTCTAAGGTCATTCATAGAGGAAAGTTCTGCAGGACACAGATGATGAGCCTTGCTCCCAGGCTCTGGTCTCAGGCTCCTTTCCTCTCCCAGATTCCTCAAGGTCTGCCCCACACCTTGCACCCTACAGCTTCATGCACTTTCCAGTGCCTTGCTTTGGCTGCTTCCAGCACACAGGTGGCAGTAGAGGACTGAGCTGAAGCCAGTGATCTTTGCTATTCCATTTTTACAAGCCTGGCTGTCAGCTTCTGAACAGACGTGGGAGGAGAGGAGTGTCCAGCCGGCAAGCCATGCTGACCCTGGGAGTGGATGTGTGCATGCTAGTCCAGCCTGTGGTAGCACTAAAAGCAAAGAGCTCACTGGGACTCAGTCAGAGGCAATAAGACTGGGTGAACCATTGCCACTGCTGTTGCCTTTGCAAGTATTTACTATTTTCTTCTTTCCTCCCTTCCTTCCTTTTTTCCTTCCTTCCTTCCTTCCTTCCTGCCTTCCTTCCTTCCTCCCTTCCTCCCTTCCTTCCTTCCTTCTTTTCATTATTATTGTTATAAAAATTTTTCTTAAATTTCTCTATATAACTAATTTGTCCATCTACTCCATTTACTTATCTGTGTAGAGTATATTGTAGTCTTTTGAGAGGATCTGCCTGATAGGATCTGATCTGATAGAAAAAAAATAAAGGGAGGAAGGAAGGGAGGAGGGGGAGACAAGGATGGAAGGGACTATCTATTAATTTATTTCTTTATTCTAAACATTTTTTTAGGGAGAAGACATTTGGACTAGTGGTTAAGACAACAGTTGGAATACTTGCATCCCATATGAGAATGCCTGGGTTGTATTCCTGACTCTGACTCCTGATTCCAGGTTTCTGCTGATGCAGATCCTGGGGAGGCAGAGATGATGTCTCAGGTAACTGGTTTCCTGATATCCACGTAGGGGATCTTAATTGAGTTCCCAGCTCCTAACTTTAGCTATTATGGGAATTTGGAGGGTTTAACAGTAGATATGAGATCTCTATCTCTACTTCATATATAAATCAATGATAATTCTATTTCTTTAATTGCTATATAAAAGCACAGGCTAATGGGATCATTCTCATTAAACATTCTCGTTAACTTAAAAGAAAACTGAAATAAACCTTATTGTCTGTTGTTTACAAATTCAGGATTAGGTGCATCTCTGGCTCCATCCTTTCCCATTGATACTGCACTGTCCATCCCATGACATGAAGCATCTGTCCAAGTATCTCGCAAACAGCAGCTTCTGTTTCCACAATGTACTCCTCTGCCTGCAATGCCTAGAAAATAGCTAACCTAAAAAGTCAGCAATACCGTCACCTCCTTTAAAAAATGCTTTACTTGGGAAAATGTTCGTTTTTTCATATCTTCTACATATCTTTTCATACAATGGATAAATACAGACTGTGGTGGATTGAATTTGTCATCTTTATCCATTCCTCCAGTGCAGAAAATCTCTGTTCTCACAGCATCTCATAATAGAATGTGGGTACATCCCAGCCCTTCCTTCCTTGGCATATAACTTGATTTTTCCCATTGAACATCAGTAAGCTCTGACACAAGCAGAGACTTGAACGGTGTTTGTGTGGTTGTGTCTGCTCTGCAGTCACCATGGGCAGACACACTGTGGGAGATGCTGCCTACTCTACCAGGCTTCTGAACCAGGCACATGGAGCAGACAAGCAGTTAAGAGCTGAGTGCTACTGAGTACAGTCAAAATCAGCTAAACTTCATGCTCCCACACTGAAGAGTGAGGGGAAAAATGAGTGCTATGGTGATTATTTGATATTTTGAGGTTATTTTTAGTATCAGCATTATTGTGGCAACCGCTGATTAAATGCTTTTATTGATTTGGAATGTAAGATCAATACCTTATTTACCCATGTCTTAATATGTCTTAATAAAGGTCTGTTGATGGAATAAAGGAAAATAACTGTGTTCTTGTAATAGGCATAAAGGTGACTAGCGTCTGTATTATACCTTCAGGGAGTAATGTATTTAGTTTGGAAGAGTAAGACATGTGGGTCCAACCTTCCTTTCTTTCTTGGATTTTGCAACAACAATTGTACAGACTAGTGTTGTGGCATAGTGAGTAAAGCCACTGCTTGCAACACTGGCAACCCATATGCAAGTTGGGCAGCTGGTTCACTGTGAATCCAAGGCTTCTACTGTACCTTCCGTCTACCTGTGAATAGTAAAGTTGCTCCATTTAGCCTTAGCTTGTTGCTTCAATGCTCCATCCATCAGACTCTTGTAAGTAGTAGAATTTGTAGTTCAAGTTGCAATGAGATGAAATGGCAGCCAGCGCACAGTGAATCTGCTCTCCAGGAACCAGTTCAGTTTTCTGAGAAGCTGAGTTAATGTATTGATTATGTATCAATATAACATAATCTTATGCGTGATACAATATACTGAGCTAAAATTCTGTGTGGAAAGTAGAACAGAAATGCAAGTTCAAATGACAAAGATACACAAAATTTCCAACTGTTAAAGTGTTGGATGTTACAATGGGACAACTAATTAAGCTGAAGCTGAAACATTTTATTTGTGAATTTTAGGTAAGGGAGTATAGTGTTTACAAAAATTTTGGGAGGCAACAGAACAGAAAGGATTGAAGACTGCTTGTAATGGAATGACTTAGAAAGTTTCTCTTGTCTTTGAATTTTGGAAATGTTATGTGAACATAGGCACTTTCCAATATATTGCAATATTAAGTTAGTGGAAGTAAGTGCATTTATCTGATCATGGAATTTCATAAAAATAATTTAGTAATGTCCAGTGGTAGTGTTTTTCTGTGAGATGCAATCTATGGAAATATATTAATAGTGACCAGGTTAAAAATTAGTCTATTGGGCTATTTAAATACGGATGAAGATTAATTTGAGAATAGGAGCAAAAAAAGAAAACCTTCTGACCCCTTTTGGACTTAATAGTTCATTCTAGTGACAGAATATCAGTTGATAAAATTCTGCAACTTTTAAGAGGTTCATTAAGGATGGGGTTTATTAAGTAGAAACAGAGAAACCACATGGTTCAGAGTCCAACATTAAAATTGATTTGATCAAGGAAAGGAATGAAAGAATGAATGATTGGGGCCTGGAGGTGGGAGGAAATTTCTGCAGGAGGTAGACTAAGAAACAGTGATCTGATATAAAAGTGTTTTGGGAGAAACAAATATAAAAATTAAGAATGCCACTTGTTTCCCTATTGCCATCAAATAAGTTATATATTTTCCAAGGTGTTTTGTAATATATTTTAAAAAATTCATACCCTTAATAACTCAAGATTATACTTGCATAATAAAAATATTTTCTAATTAATATATGTAAAATGTAATTTCAGAGTAATTTTTTCTAAAAATGGAAATATAAATCATATGTACATGATTAACTATTTTCTTAAAATACTATTTAATTTATATATTTTTCAAAATAGAACTACAAAAGTATGTATTTGTGGAAAACTGTCATTCAAAAATGGATCAAGATATACAGCTCAAGAGCAATGTCAACATAAAAAAAAAAAAACAAATAAGAAATGGTGAGAGTGACTGAAGGAAGGAGGGGTGAATGGGAATTATCATATGCTCTCTTTTTTTTTAAAGATTTATTTATTTATTTGAAAGTCAGAGTTACACAGAGAGAGGAGAGGGTGGGAGAGAAGTCTTCCATTGGATGGTTCACTCCCCAGTTGGCCACAATGGCCGGAGCTGTGCTGATCTGAAGCCCAGAGACAGGAGCTTTTGCTGGGTCTCCCACGAGAGTTCAGGGGATAAAGGACTTGAGCCATCTCCTTCTGCTTTCCCAGGTGTATTAGCAGAGAGCTGGGTGGAATTGGGGAAGTCGAGTCTCGAACCGGCAACGCTATGGGATGCCGGGGCTTCAGGCCAAGGCATTAATTCACTGTGCCACAGCACCGGTCCTTATCATACGCGTATCTTTTTATCTTTTTTTTTGACGAGGCAGAGTGGACAGTGAGAGAGAGAGACAAAGAGAAAGGTCTTCCTTTGCCGTTGGTTCACCCTCCAATGGACGCCGCGGTGGCGCACCACGCCTATCCGAAGGCAGGACCTGGTCTCCCATGGGGTGCAGGGCCCAAGGACCTGGGCCATCCTCCACTGCACTCCCTGGCCACAGCAGAGAGCTGGCCTGGAAGAGGGGCAACCGGGACAGAATCTGGCACCCTGATCGGGACTAGAACCCGGTGTGCTGGCGCCGCAAGGTGGAGGATTAGCCTAGTGAGCCATGGCGCCGGCCATCATATGCTCATAAAGCTACATACAAGAGGGGATGGCGCTGTGGCGTAGAGGGTAAATCCGCCGCCTGCAGTGCCGGCATCCCATATGGGCGCCGGTTCAAATACTGCCTGCTCCACTACCGATCCACTCTCTGTTGTGGCCTGGGAAAGCGGTAAAGGATGGCCCAAGCCCTTGGGCCCCTGCACCCACGTGGGAGACCTGGAAGAAGCTCCCAACTCCTGGCTTTGGATTGGCACAGCATCTGACCAATGCAGCCATCTGGGGAGTGAACCAGTGGATGGAAGACCTCTCTCTCTCTCTCTGCCTGCCTCTCTTTCTCTGTGTAACTCTGACTTTCGAGTAAATAAATCTTTAAACAAACAAACAAAAAAACATGGAGTTTGTTCCCTTTTTATAAATTAAACATTAATTAGCTTGAAACAAAAAAAAATTCTCACACATAAAAAAGAATGAATGAAGCTATAGTAAAGCAAATAAATAGCCAATTAGTGTCTTTAAACATATTTAAAAGGACACTATCTACATATGGTAAAACAAAATTTAGGTAAAGAACACAATTTGCTATGAGAAAGTAAGTGAGAATGGAGAAGAGCTTTGGTAATTAGTGATTTTTTATGTTAATATTTGCCTAAGATTTATTCAAATATGAACTCCAGTCTTCTATGAAACTGTTCTTCTGGTTACCACACATCTGTCTAAGCCTCATTCATCCGCCATGGTAACTGCCTCCGCCCACGGCTCCATCCAGTTACATGAAGAAATAGCACAAATTCCCATCACCTCCACAATGGCTTCCTACCTTTCTCTTTGCTGCCGCTATGGTCTCATGAAGTGTCCCCTAAAATCAGTTCACAGAGGAAGAGAGAACATAGGTCTGATTTACAGAGGGTTCTGTAGGATGTATAGGCACCACCTCAAAGGGTTTTGTTTTAATCTAGCGCATCCCAGGAGCACAGTAGTGAAGGAAAATCCTTCCAACAGATAAAACTTCAAGTGGTGCACCTGGTTTTTGCCTTCTTCATTTTTCTGACAGGGGATGCAGCCAGAATTGAGTCTGGTGATGGGAGAGGAGATGAAAAAAAGCAAAGTTACTTCAAACTTCAGGAGGCCCAAACAGGCCCATGCAAGAAGAGGCACAGAGTGGCTATGAGAAGCAAAATTACACAGGGTGTTTAGGAGGGATGTGCAACCTTGATAAACTGTAAAGACCACGGGGAACCTGGGCAGAGTAACAACCACATCTGCATCAAGCAAAATCCTCACTGCATTATTTTTCTGAATAGAACATCATCTACAGGACTCAACCTATTTAAAGGTATGAACTTAGCCTACTGATAAAATATCTCTGCCACTGCCACGTTCTGATGTCTGGATTCAGTTATCTACATGTTTTCACTTGTACCAAGTGACAGACTATTTGAATTGCCACAGGTTTAAAATGTCTGATTGCATCTTATTCTTCTCTTTCAAAATTGTCTTGTCAATTCCTAAGACTTTAATTTATCTTAGGAAGGCACAGATCAGCTTTTCAATTTGCATGGATAGATGCTATTAGGGTTTTAATAGGAATGGCACTGGATTTGTGGACTGCTTGACATCTTTATGTCAATGACCCTTCCTATGCATTCCTATTGCGTACTGCTTCACTTACTGAGGTCTCCTTTTATTTTCCTCAACAAATTGATGGTCCTATTAGAAAATCTTGTTTATATTTCATTATATCACTGTACAGGCTATTTGCTGTTTTGAATGTTACACATTTTTAATAATAGATTTTCTTTTTTCTACTTTTTAAATGGAGATTTTCTATATAACCATACTACCAGATTCTTTAATTCGTTCCAATAATTATAAATTTCACTAATTGTCTACTGTAGATTATATTTCCTGTATGTGATGTAGATTCTTTCTTCACATCTTTGCATCTCTTAATTTTTTTGTTTTATTTTCTTGACTAAAATTTCAAGTTCATCATCCTAGAGAGAAAACAGACATCTTTAATGAGATCATTATTAAATTTTATTAAATTGATATCTGTATTAATAAGTACACTTTTCATAAATTTGAGATTAAATAGATTTAAATTTTTCCAACATATTTCCATTTTGCTAAGGATAAATATTTATTGAGAACAGATGTTGACTTTTGAATTGTTGACTATTGAATTACTTTTAGGCATCTATTGAGGTAATTTATGATTACTCCACATATGTATATTGAAGTGGTTTTACATGAATATATTTTAAAATATTCAAGCAATATATTCAGCTCTTTGATAAGTCATATATTTTCAATCAATTTGCATGATTACTAACTTGCTATTGTGGTTGAAATTAGAGAAAATACAGTTCTGTTCTTATTTTTTAACTAAGCTTATTTGAAACATAAGGATCCTAAATAAAAATGTACACATTATTGCAGTACACATCTCAGCAAAATTACATAAAGAGACCGCACCCCTGTGTATACCACTCAGTTTACGAAATGTCCCCAGAACCCCACAATCTTCATATTTTTTCCCATCCCATTTATTATTTCCTGAAGGAATGACAAAAATTTGAATTATGTCCAGTTGGTTACCATTAGTAGTAAAATGAATATTTCTATTACATTGTCTATTTTTCAACTAAGGTAAAATTTATACAACAAATGGTAGAGATCTTAACTGTGTAATGCAAATAATTTGGACTGTTGTATAACCCAGTAATCAGCACAACAACCCATACACAGAACATTTTCCTCACTCCTGCAAGTGACTATGTATTTTTTTTTTCAATCAGTTCCCCTCCTAAGGGCAGCCACTATTCTAATATCTATCATCATAAGTAAGTTTCAGCTTCATTTCAACCTCAAGCAAATAAGAGATTAGACCCTTGCAACTGACTTCTTTCCTGCACCATAATGTTTTTGAGGTTCTTCCATGTTATTGCCTACACAGTCACCTGTCTTTCTATAGTTAAATAATATTCCATCATTTACATAAATAAACAGCAATTGATGGTCCATATGTTACTTTTGTAGTTGTTAAGACAGAGACAGACCAAAAAGGTCCCCATCACCAGCCCACTCCCCAAAGGTCAACAATGTTTCCAAAGTAGTTGTATGTAATTACTTACTCAGTAAGTAATTTCTGAGACCTTAAGATACTCCACACCTATAGCAGCCTTTGCAAATATCAGTGTTTTGAATACACAGTCTTTGTTTTAGATGTGAAAGCATAATGTACCGTGATTTTAATTTGAATTTTCTTGACTAGTCATGATGTTGAACATATTTTGCATGATCTTCCCATTGTTATAGCTTGTTTTGTGAAATGTCTCTTGCAATTTTTTGACCATGTTTTATAAATATGATTTAAGGATAAGCTCTCTGTCAAATATATGTATTGCACCATTTTTACAATTTTAATAAAATATTTTTATTTTGATAAGGTAAATTTCATCTTTTCTTTTCAATTTGTTTATTTTCTTGCATTGGTTCTAGTAAGTACTTTCCTACCCTAAATTCATAAAGATACTCTGGTATGTTGTATAGTAGAAGGTTTATAAATTTAAATTCTACAGTAATTATAATTTACCTCATATCACCTTTTTTGTGAAATGCATAAATTGGAGGTTAAAATTCATTGTTTTCTTTACATTGATTTGTTAGTTCAATATCATATGTTGTGTATATTTTCTATCATATTTGCCCATGAATTTTAGGAAGCTCTTTGGTAATTGCCATCAAAGTTAAAACCAAAACAAATCAACCACCCAACAAATTCTTATTAAGTGTTGATGAGGATTGCATTCAATACAGGAAGAACTGCATCTTCAAAATGTATTTCTTCATTTATTTGTATCTTCAGTTACTCAAATTCTTTTGTTGTTTTTCATGTAGATTCTTACAAATACTTGATCCATGTATTTTAAGCATCTTACAATTTTGATGTTACTATAAACATGTGCTTTATTTCATTTTCCAGTTTATTGTCTAATAGTGTACAAATATTAAATTGATTTTTAAACATTATTTTAAAATTTATGCAGAAAGTCTTATTGACTTAAGATTTTAATAGATTCATTGATTAATAATTTATATACAGCAAACTGCTCGTGTTGAAAACACATAATTTGATAATTTTTTTGAAGATTTTATTTATTTACTTGAGAGGTAGAGTTACAGACAATGAGAGGGAGAGACAGAGAGAAAGGTCTTCCATCCTCTAGTTCACTCCTCAAATGGCCGCAATGGCTGGAACTGAGCTTATCCGAAGCCAGGAGCCAGGAGCTTCTCCTGGTTCTCCCATGTGGGTTCCACTGCTTTCCCAGGCCATAACAGAAAGCTGAATAGGAAGAGGAGCAGTTGGGACTAGAACCGATGCCCATATGGGATGCCAGCACTGCAGGCAGAAGATTAACCTACCGCACCACAGTGCCAGCTTCCATAATTTGATAAATTTTAACATACATACAGATCTATGAAATAATTGTCAAAATATGTTTTCCCTAAAAATTTCCTCAATTCTCTCCCATTCCCTGCCTCCATTCCCTCCATCTCTAAACTCCACTCACTGTAGATAACCACTAATCTGCTTTCTGTCAATGTACACTAATTATGCTTTTTGATTTCATTTGAATGAAATCCTAATTTAAAGGTACTTTTAAAATATTTCTTCTTTCATCATGATTATCTTGATATTTATATAGGTTATTGAAAGTTAACTGAGACTACATCTTTGTAAAAATTATGAATGAGAATAGGAGAGGGAGGAGGAAGAAGGGTGGGATCATGGGCAGGAGGGGGGGTAGGGTAGGTAGCATCACTATATTCCTGAATCTGTATTTAGGAAATATATGAAGTTTATATATATATATATATATAAAAGAAAATTTAAAATAATAACAATAATAACAGTAATAAATGAATAATTTGTGAATAAAACAGCCCTTTAGCCCTATTTTGTTATGCAGATATACCAAAATTTGTTTTATCATTCATGTTTTGATGAATATTTGCTTCAATTTCATTTTTTGGCTCTAACACAGATAAAGCTACTATGATCGCTCATGTAGAAATCTTTGAATGGACACTTGCTTTAATTTCTCTTGGGTAAATACTGAGAAGTGGAGTAGCTCTATCCCACTGAAGAAATTTGCTTAATGTTTTAAGAAACACCTAAATTGTTTTCCAAAGTGGTTGTAATATTCGACATTCTCACCAGCTGTGAGAGTTCCAGTTGTTCCACCTCTTTACCAACATGAAGCTTAGCTATGCTAACAGATGGCAAGTGGCATCTTATCTGTGGTTTTAATTTGCATCTCCTTAATAGTAATGATTCTGAGCTTTCTTCATGTGCTTATTTGCCATCTGTGTATCTTCTTTGGCATGATGTCTATTCAAATATCCCACTGATTCGTTCTTCTTTTTCCCATTTTTCATTAGGCTCTTTGTTCTTTACATTGGAGAACTTTGCTTAGAAGAACAGATCTAAGTATTTGGTATATGTACTAATATTGACCTGTGGTTGTATGCAAGGCAACAGCAGAGCATGGTTAGGGATATTGGTCCTGCTATGGTTTGAATTCCTCAAAGTTCACAGATTGGATATATGACCTACAAGGTAGAGGTATTGGATATTATTACCCTTGAGAAGTACATAGATCACAAGAGTTCTGCCCTCATAAACCAAAGAGTGTAGTTTTAATGGAGTGGTTTTGTTATCAAAAAGTGAATTTAGTACCCTCTTGCTCTCACTCTTTTTTGCCTTTCTAAAATGGGATATTGCATCAAAAAGGACCTTGCTAATTGATAGTAGCTTAATCTTGGACTCCACATCCTTCAGAATCACAAGGAAATACAATTCTATTCATATAAATTTTTTCATCTAGTATTCTGTTATGGACGCACGAAGCAGACTAAGATTGGCACGCATCACTATACATTCAATCTAATTGTTTGTGTTCTCTATGTGTGTTGAAATCCCTGAGTTCCTAAACATAGCTCCATTTCCAATTCAACTCCACAAGATTTGTTCTAGGTTTTTATTCTGTCTCTTTTCATTTTCTGTATTTTTAAACTCATTGCTCTATACAGGGAAGTCTGGAACACATTATCCTTAGTATATCTGATAATTTGGATTTTTCTTCCAGGTAAGCAACCTACTATTCTATTTGCTGCCCCCACCACCACCGCATGGATACTTTTTTATTTAACCGGTTGTGACATCACAATGCAGGAATGCTAATTCTCCGTAGGCTCTTCTTCACTCCCTCAGAACTTAACACACACTTGACATTTGGATGCTGACTGCTTAGGCTGGGTTGTACGACCTCACCATTGTGGTCACTGGGACCAGCTCTGAAAACTTTCTTTGCACCATCACCCTCTACTCCCTCTTACCTTTCCCATTGTGTATATCTTTCTGGCTTGATATCATCTGATGGCTTTCAGAAAAAAAAATTAAATTTCAGGAAGCATAAATGAAACAGGAAGAGGGAGAAGAAAATGAAAAAGCTAGTGGAAAATGAAGAGGAAGAAATTCCTCTTAAATGATAACTTAAAAAAAGAGTAACACACAATTATATATTTCCTTTAGTCCTTTCCAACAAATGTTATATTAGTTTTATTATCACATAGTACAACGTATTTTCTGATTTTCCTTGTGACTTTCTTTCAACATTCACCTGTGTCAAAAATGTTTAAATTTTAAATAATTTTAACAATTTTTGGGTAATTTAAAGGTTTCTGGCTGTGTTACTGCTCATTGTTGCCAAGTTTATTCTACCATGGTCAAGAACATATTCACATTGTTCTTAAAATTTGAAGTTTACTAAAACTATATGTTCTGGCCGGTGCCATGGCTCAATAGGCTAATCCTCCACCTTGCGGCGCCGCCACACCGGGTTCTAGTCCCGGTCGGGGCGCCGGATTCTGTCCCGGTTGCCCCTCTTCCAGGCCAGCTCTCTGCTATGGCCAGGGAGTGCAGTGGAGGATGGCCCAGGTGCTTGGGCCCTGCACCCCATGGGAGACCAGGAAAAGCACCTGGATCCTGGCTCCTGCCATCGGATCAGCGCGGTGCGCCGGCTGCAGCGGCGGCCATTGGAGAGTGAACCAACGGCAAAGGAAGACCTTTCTCTCTCTGTCTCTCTCTCTCACTGTCCACTCTGCCTGTCCAAAACAATAAGAAAAAATAAATAGAAGGATAAACAAACACCCATTTGTTCTCCAAGGCCAACATATGTTCTACATTGGTGAAGATTTCATGTGCCCTTGGAAATCATTTCTGCTTTGCTTTCCCTGTTTCATTGCCTGTCATTATACTTAAGTTGTTATTCTGGACTGTAGTCATCTCAAGAAATGACTTAGGAAAGATTTGCCTGTAATGTCACTAACGCGATGGCATAGATTCTGTTCCTTGAAGGCCGTTGGACTTAGAGCTCTATGTCTCACTGGTCATTGGCCAAAGTCCTCCTTCAGTTTCCTTAGCTCTCATCACATGGACCTCTCAAAGATGGGAGCTTGTTCCATCAAAGAGAGAGGGAGTCAAGAAGGCAAAAAGAGAGAGAGAGAGAGGAAGAAATAGAGGAAGAGAGTGCAAGATGGAAGTCACTATCATTTTTACTCCAAGCCTGAAAGAAACACTCCAATACTTTTGCTATAGCATATTAATTAGGAGCAAGTTATTACATCCAGCACACACTTTGAGAAAAGAGATTACACACATACATGAATATCATGAGGTAGTGCCATTCAGAGTCATTTTAGTGATTACCTACAATAGCTTTTATCTTTAACTTGTAATAGGCCTATTTCCTTTATTATCTATATGAGCATGGTTCTGTAGCATGCATAAATTTGATTTAACTTATTTTACTTTCTTAGTGTGATACAACAGAATATTTTAGTGCAGCTCATTTCTTTTTGTACATTTTTGTGTACATGTACAGATCTTTCACTTCAACTCCTTAGCAGTCCTTTAAAATGATTATTTTATTTACTTGAAAAGCAGAGTAATAAAGAGAGGGAGAAATAGAAAGATCTTCCATCTACTGGTTCATTCACCAAATTTCTACAACAGCCAAGGTTAGATCAGGCCAAACAAGGAGGGTAGAATTCTACTCAGTCTCCCCTGTGTGACAGGAATACAAGGTCTTTGGTCATGTTCCACTGCTTTTCCAGGTGCATTAGCAGAGAGCTGGATCATAGGCAGAACTAGTGGGATCCCGACCAATGCTATGATATATAGGATGCCAGTGTCTCAGGCAAGGGGGCTAACCAACTGCACCATAATATTGCCTCTCCCCTCCTTTTTTAGCACTTCTTATTTGGACCTGCTATTAACTGATTATTTCTTAATGTGATCTTAGTTTTTTAGGATATCTCTCCTGAATATACAGTTTCTGTTACTATGAATTTCTTTTTGAAGGATATCTTTACTGAATATACAAGTCTGCAGTGAGTCATTTTCCTATTAACCCTTTGAGATGCTGGTTCATTATTTCTATTACAGTTGAGAAGTCAGCTTTTATTGCTAAAATTGTCTTCTATATATAATATACCTTCATCTCTCTCACAAATTATACATTAATCTTTGACTTGTATTCATAGTCATTTGATTTTAATGTACCAACATGTGATTTTTTTATTTATCTTGTTTAAAATTCAATAAAATTGTACATGCCAAATCATATTTTAATTTAGTTTAAAAGAATTTGACCATTATTACTTACATAATTTTTCAGATCATTATTTAATCCATTATAATAGTAACATATACTATGCAAATTAGTATTCTAAAGATTATTGTGAATTTTTTTCTCATAATTCTGTCTTTTTTCTTATTGGAGTTTTATTGATCCGCTCAAAGTCTACAAACACTTTCCCCTGCAGTCTATTTGATTCTGTTATACATTCTCTGAACTTATTTAAAATGTCTTATACCTTCCATTGATTTAATCTCCATTTTATTTTTCTAATTATTTAAATTTCTTTGATGATGTCTTTTTTTTTTTTTTTTTTTTTTTTGGACAGACAGAGTGGACAGTGAGAGAGAGACAGAGAGAAAAGTCTTCCTTTTGCCATTGGTTCACCCTCCAATGACCGCAGCGGCCAGCGCACCGTGCTGATTTGATGGCAGGAGCCAGGAACTTATCCTGGTCTCCCATGGGGTGCAGGGCCCAAGTACTTGGGCCATCCTCCACTGCACTCCCTGGCCACAGAAGAGAGCTGGCCTGGAAGAGGGGCAACCGGGACAGAATCCAGCGCCCCGACTGGGACTAGAACCTGGTGTGCCGGCGCTGCAAGGCGGAGGATTAACCTAGTGAGCTGCGGCGCCGGCCCTTATATGTTCTATCATTATGTTTCAACATTCTCATAAGTCCTTATTCATATAAGCTTGTGTAAAGTATTTGCGTATTAGTCCTAACATTTCTGTCATTTCATGATCTTTTTGTAAAGATTATATTTTTTCTTGATTGACCATGTTTTTTCATGCCTGTAACTTTTAAGTTATGTTGGGCTTTATGAATAAAAGTAAATCTGAATGTCATTGTTTTCCTTTGTAGATTGCTGTATTTTCATAACTGGAAATAAATAACTTGGTGGAGTACCTTCATCTTTAGTCTTTGTTATATGCTTTATTAGACTACTCGGTTTTAGTTTTTATATTTTGTCCTTGAGCATAACTCTTCCTTTAAGCTATGATCTTTAAATATATGATCCTTTTAGATTTTTGCCCAATGCAGCAAATGCATTACAGTCTCCATATTGGCTTGGCCTAAACTCTGATATTGCTAAGCAATGAAGATCTATGGAGTCTCCATTCTCAACTCCATGGAAGTCATGCTGTGGTCAGACTGGTTAAATTTTGGATAACATATTTGCAGTTGACCTTCAGCCAAGATTATGAGAGGAATCAGCACACCTACATCTGGGTCCTCTTCTATGACTCTCCCTCTAATTCAACACTCTACCTTTGAAATTTAATCTCTGTCAATATAGTTTCAGTTATTGCTATCTATTCAAAAGTACAACGAGACTTCCACTAACTTCTTAGCATCACTTTCTCTTAGTGAGGATTAAGAAATTGCCCTCAGGAAGAGATCTCAGGATAATATGCTACTAATTTGCATGTTCTATTCTCCACAGAATTAGTCTTACACTATTAGTTGGTTTCATTTTTCAAGATTTTATTTATTTGAGAGGTAGAGTTACAGACAGAGAGAGGGAGAGACATAGAGAAAGGTCTTGGATATGTTGGTTCACTCCCCAGTGGCTGCAACAGTTGGAGCTAGGCTAACCTGAAACCAGGAGACGGGAGCTTCTTCTGGGTTTTCCATGTGGGTGCATGGGCCCAAGCACTTGGGGCATCTTCCTCTGCTTTCCTAGGCATTAAAGAGAAAAGTGGATCAGAAGAGGAGCAGCTGGGACATGAACATCTCATGCAGGCTCCATAGGTGGAGGCTTAACCTACTACATCACAGAGACTGCCCTTATGTTGCACTATTTGTTATCTGGTGTCCAAATATTCTAATACCTCTATTTTTGTTTAGTTCTCAATTTTTATGGCAATCAAGTAAATATTGAAATAATTACTTCATCATTAACAGATGAAGGAGTCAATTTGTCAATTTGATCTCATGAGTCAATTTTATCTCATTTGTACATTTGCATTTCTACAAGAAATTTCATGAATAGCTTCCACTTACATTTTATTTTCTGCCATTTAAAAAATATATACATAGTTTTACACACTAAATTTATATAAAAATGACTTTTACTGAATCATTTTATTACTGATTTAGTGTCTATAATGGTTGCTATTTCCATCAGGTTTAATATATATTATTTAAAGCTAAAACTAAAATTATTTAATTATTTTTATATGTTCAGTGCATTTAAATTTTGAAAATTCTAAGCAATTTCTAAAGGATCTTCTATAGGATTTGGAGGCAAAACAGAAAACCACTCGCTGAAATTTTGTCCAAAGATTTTAGTTCATAGTTTAATGTTTATTAAGAATAACATGCATTGAAAAAAATTGGGGTTCCTAGTTTTTTTTTTTTTTTTTTTGACAGGCAGAGTGGACAGTGAGAGAGAGACAAAGAGAAAGGTCTTCCTTTTTTCCATTGGTTCACTACCCAGTGGCCGCTGCGGCTGGCGCACTGTGGCCGGTGCACCGTGCTGATCCGAAGCCAGGAGCCAGGTGCTTCCTCCTGGTCTCCCATGTGGGTGAAGGGCCCAAGGACCTGGGCCATCCTCCACTGCACTCCCGGGCTACAGCAGAGAGCTGGACTGGAAGAGGAGCAATCGGGACAGAATCCGGCGCCCCGACCAGGACTAGGACCTGGGGTGCCAGCTCCACAGGCAGAGGATTAGCCTATTGAGTCATGTCGCTGGTCAAAGGGTTCCTAGTTTTTATAGATGATCCTTTTCCAAACATGACCACAGGCACAGAAGTTCTCTTTGGATGGTCATGTTAAAAACCACTTTTGGGGGGTTTATTTTAATTTGAATGTGGAAAATCCACCAAAGCTTCATCCCTAGGGTGTTGCTGTTGGGAGGTGGTGGAAACTAGTAGGTGAGGCCTGGTGCAAGTTCATTGGGTCAGGATGGTTGTTCTCAGAGGAGAATCATTATGAAAGCCAGGGGTTAGCCTCTCTCCCTCTGACTTCTGGCTCAGTAGGTGATCTTCCCTCTAAACACACTCAATGGTTGTCCTCCTCTGACCCTATCAGAGGCCCAGTCAATGGGATTTCTCAATTTGGTCAGGCTTGAACCTCCAAAATTGTGAGCTAAAAGCACCTTTTATCTTTATAAAGTTGGTATTTTATTGAAGTGTTAAAGATGACTCTTGCGTCACTGAGCTCCCACATTTTCCTTGTTGTTAATCCCCGGGGACACATCCTCTCTCTCTCTCTCTCTCTCTCTCTCACACACACACACACACACACACACACACACACAACATCATGAGGGCGAAAGTTAAGCCAACTGAATTGAGCTGCAATAAACATGGTACTATAGATCACTTTTTAATGAGCTGATTTCATTTATTCTGGGTAAATTTCCAGGAATGGGATGGCTGGGTCATATGGTAGATCTATATTGAGATTTCTGTGGTATTTCCATACTGTCTTTTTTTTTTTTTTCTAAATGACATCTCTTGTTTATTTTTTTTATTTTTTTTAGTTTTAACTTTTTTAACTTTTATTTAATAAATGTAAATTTCCAAAGTACAACTTTTGGATTATAGCGGCTCCCCCCTCCATAACTTCCCTCTCAGCCACAACCCTCCCATCTCCTGCTCCCTCTCCCCTCTTCCATTCCATTCACATCAAGATTCATTTTCAATTAACTTTATATACAGAAGATCAATTTAGTATATATTAAATAAAGAGTTCAACCGTTTGCACTTACACAGAAACACAAAGTGTAAAGTACACATTGTACAACACATTAAGGATAGAGATCCTACATGGGAAGTAAGTGCACAGTGACTCCTGTTGTTTAACAATTGACATTCTGGTTTACAGGGTCAGTCATCACCCTAGGCTCTTGTCATGGGTTGCCAAGGCTATGGAAGCCTTTTGAGTTCGCCAACTCCAATCTTATTTAGACTTTTATAGTGGCTGAACCAGTTTACATTCCCATCAACATGCATTAGGGTCCATTTTTCATCACATCATCCCCAGCATTTGTTGTTTGTTGATTTCTGTGTAAAAGAAATTCTAACGGGGGTGAGGTGAAACCTCATTGTGGTTTTGGTTTGCATTTCCCTGATGCCTAGTGATCCTGAGCATTTTTTTTTCATATGTCTGTTGGCCATTTGGATTTCCTCTTTTGAAAAAATGCTTGTTCAAGTCCTTTACCCATTTCTTAACTGGATTGTTTGTTTTATTGTTGAGTTTCTTGAGCTCTTTATGTATTCTGGATATCAATCTTGATCAGTTGCATAGCTTGCTAATACTTATTCCCATTCTGTTGGTTACCTCTTCACTTTGCTGAGTGTTTCTTTTGCAGCACAGAAGCTTCTCAAATTGCTTTAATGTTATTTATCAGTTTTAGCATTGATTGCCTGTGCTTCTGGGTTCTTTTCCAAGAAGTCTTTGCCTATGACAATGCCTTCTAGTCTTCCCCCAATGTTCTCTAATAATTTGATGGTATCAGGTCATAGATTCAGATCTTTGATCCATCTTGAGTGGATTTTTATGTAGAGTGTAAGGTAGGGGTCTTGCTACATATTTCTGCATGGGGAGATCCAGATTGTCAGCATCTTTAGTTGAAGAGACTGTCCTTGATCCAGGGATTGATTTTAGCTCCTCTGTCAAAGATAAGGTGATTGTAGATGTGTGGATTGATTTCCAGAGATTCTATTCTGTTCCATTGGTCTATCCATCAGTTTTTCTGCCTGTACCAGGCTATTTTGAGAACTGCTATGTATTATGCTCATGAAATCAGGTATTGCGATGCCTCCAGATTTGTTTTTGTTGTGTAAGATTGCTTTAGCTATTTAGAGTCTCTTGTGTTTCTGTATGAAATTTGGCATCCTGATTTTTAGATACCCAAAGAATGCCATTGGTATTTTGCTTGGGGTCACATTGAATGTGTAAATTGCTTTTGGCAGTGTGGATAGTTTGATGATACTGATTCTTCCAATATACGAACATGGAAGATTTTTCCAATTTTTGTGTCTTCTTCTATTCCTTTCTTTGATGTTTTATAATTTTAATTGTAGAGATCTTTGATGTCCTTGTTTAAGTTTATTTCAAGTTATTTAACTTTTTTGTCTATATTACGAATGGAGTTGATCTTAGAAGTTCTTTCTTAGCTATGATATTGTCTGTGTATACAATGACCTTTGATTTTTGTGTATTAATTTTGTATCCTGCCAATTTACTGGAATCTTTTATGAGTTACAATAGTCTTTTATTGGAGTCTTTGTATCCTCCACATATAGATTCATGTCTCTGCAAATGGGAATAATTTGACTTCTTCCTTCCTAATTTGCATACCTTTGGTTTCTTTTTCTTGCCTAATGGCTCTGGCTAAAACTTTCAGGACTATATTTGATACTAATGGTGAGAGTGGATATCTTTGCCTGGTTCTGGATTTTAGTAGGAATGCTTTGAACTTTTCTCCTTTCAATAAGAGGCTTCCTATCATTTGTTGTAAACTGTCTTGATTGTGTTAAGGAAGGTTTCTTCTAAACCCAATTTGCTTAAGGTTTACATCATGAAATATTGTATTTTTTTTGACAGGAAGAGTTAGACAGTGAGAGAGAGAGAGAGACAGAGAGAAAAGTCTTCCTTTTTCCATTGGTTCACCCCCCAAATGGCGGCCATGGCCAGCGCGCTGTGCTGATCCGAAGCCAGAAGCCAGGTGTTTCCTCCTGGTCTCCCATGAGGGTGCAGGGTTCAAGGATATGGGCCATTCTCCACTGCTCTCCCGGGCCACAGCAGAGAGCTGGACTGGAAGAGGAGCAACTGGAACAGAACAGGAGCCCCAACAGGGACTAGAACCTTGGGTGCTGGTGCCACAGGCCGAGGATTAGCCAAGTGAGCTGTGGCGCCAGCCGAAATGATGTATTATTTTACAATGCTTTCTCTTCATCTATTGAGATAATCACGTGGTTACATGGTTTTGTTTTTCAATTTGTTAATGTGGTAACATTTACTGTGTTGTGAAATATTGAACCACCCCTACATTCTAGGAATAAATCCCACTTGGTCTGGGTGAATGATCTTTATTATGTGGTGTTGCATTCACTTGGCTAGAATTTTGTTGAAGACTTTTGCATCTATTAGTGGAGTATTGGTCTACAATCCTGTATCTCTGTAGTATCTTGTTCTTGTTTAGGAATTAAGGTGATGCTGGCAGCATAGAAGGAGTTTGGGATGATTCATTCCCTTTCAATTGCTTTGAATAGCTTGAGAAGAATTAGAGGTAGTTCTTCTTTAAATATCTGGTAGATTTCGGCAGTCTGATTAAGCTTTTTTTTTGTTGTTGTTGTTGGGAGGGTCTTTATTGCTGATTCAAAATATATCTTGGTGATTGGTTGTTTAGGTTACTATGTATTTATGGCTCAATTTGGTAGTTTATGTGTATCCAGGAATCTATTCATTTCTTCTGTGTTTCCCAATTTGTTAGCATACAGCTCTTTGTAGCAATTTCTGATGATTCTTATTTGTGTTGTATCTGTATCCTTTTCATCTCTGACTTTATTGATTTGGATTTTATCCCTCTCTTTTGGTTAGTTGGGCCAGTGGTGTATCAATTTTATTTATTTTTCAAATAACCATTTTTTTTTTTTTTTTTGGGAAGGCAGAGTGGACAGTGAGAGAGAGAGAGACAGAGAGAAAGGTCTTTCTTTTGGCCGTTGGTT